TTTCCCCCCCCCCCCCCCCCTTCATGTAACAATTACTTTAAGCCTTATCTGGGAGCAATCCTTTGTGTTGGGCTGAATCAACAGCTGGGCTAGGAGTCCAGTTTGGACCTGCAGCCATGGTGGACTTCATGTTGCCTGCAGATGCTTCCAAGTACTTTTTGCTGCTCATTGGCATCCCTGCTTGCCTGCTTTGGATCTCCTGCAGGCCCAAACTCTAGGACATGGTGGTGGTGTGGCGTGGCTGCAAGTCGTAAAATATAAATAGGTATCATGCCCTTTGCAAATGTCTGGTACTTGAGTCCATATTGCCTGCGAAGGCTTGGCTCGTGACTTGGTGAATGAGGGAAAATACAAGAAAAACTTTTACATAATTCCAGATTATCTTCTTGTTGAAATTACTCCTTGAGTTTCCTTCTCAATATCTGAGATGGTCATCAAGAGGAGTGTGTTTCTGTGCTTCCCTTGAGGACCCATGCTGGGCAGAGCTTTGGTCAGCTGGAAGTTGCCGCAGGGTGGTTTGCTGGTTGACTAAGCAGTGCCAATTGCTGCTGTTAAATGCTCTACCTGCTTGGTGAGTGTTTACTTCTGTTTTGTTCGGTGGCTGCCGGTTGATTATGTGAGGTTTAAGTATTTTGGGTTTGACCCATAAAATCACTCCTGACTAGGTTTTTCCAGTTGTTTACCCTGATTTCTAAAGGCTGTTGGTGAGTGCTTTCAGGGAGATATACTTAGTTCTTTAATGTGCATCTACCAGTTATTTAATTTGGATAGTTGGGACTCTAGCACCTTATAGTAAGACTTGTTTGTGTTTTCTACAGACTCATTAGACTTCTGAGCCATTTCCTTGGATTAAGAATCTGTCTTCAGGAGTTGCTTTCACTTTCCCTTTCACAAGTTACGTGTTTACCATCATCTTGTGCATTTTTTGTGTAAACCTGGAGAGCAAGTGCTTTACGAAGTGTGCTTGTGTTTGTGTTTTTTTTTGTAAACCAGAGATGCTTCTTGTCATAATGCCAATGCTGGCGAGGAGCCAGCACTGGCAAACGGCAAAAATTTGCTTCAAATAGATTGACTCAATGGCTCCGGCTGCTCCTGCGTTTCTTCCCCATGGGAAACAGATTCCCATCATTCTATTCAAATGGTTCTTAATCACCTTAGAAATGCAAGCTCTTCCGTAATTCCTGCTGCTATTACACTTTAATTTATTTAGGGAAAGTGTCCCACAGGTTTCTTTAGGCCTAGAAGAATCTGGAATAAAAACTGCTCCATCCTGGTAGGAGATATCCTTGTCTCTCTTCTGCTGGAGGAGGGGGGAGTGCTAGGAGAGCTGTAGCAAGCCCTGAAGTCTGGGCAATCTCAAAGGATGTTTAGCCAAGCAATGTTAACGGACTTTTGGAACAAGGCTGGCAGCACAGTCTAGTCTTGATTAGCATGTTCAGATGTGTTTCCTAGCCACCCTGCTGATCATATGAGGGGTTACTCTTCTAGACAGGCACTTTGACTTAACTATGGTTAGTCATCATAGCCATGCACCCAAGTTCTTGCAGATGGTTTATGCAAGTCCTTTTCTGTTTCAAGCTGTTGGTTGAGATGACAGAGATCTCGGCATCACCTCTTGCATTCTGTGTTTCTCATTGTACCTGCTGTGTAGATGTGCCGTAGCTGGGACAGCTGTTAATTCACCGTTCTTTTCTTCACGGTATTGTGGGCTGTTCAGGATGGGTCTGTACAGGTAGTGGGGAGAGCTTTATAACCTGCTGTCTGGGTGATGTGCATGGTCTCAACTTTCAGCTGTATTCAGCTGGCAGTGTGTTGAGTCCTCTCTTTCCCAGCCTTGCCCATTGTCCCTCTGCAGAACTGATAAGACTAACTTTGTAAGACTGACCCTTGTCAGCCTGTTGTCTTTGAGGGTGGTCCCAGGAAGCCATAGGGAGCACATACACAGTGTAATTTAGAGGTACTTTTTAATCGCTGGGTTTGGATTGTAGTAGAAAATGCAGGTTTGCACCATTAATGCTAACAAACCCCGGTTTTCAATTGAACGTAGTCCAGTGCTGTTCTCCACCAGCATTACTTTCTTTGGGAAGCTTTTCAGTGCTTGATATGTTATGGAAGCCAAATGAATCACTGATGATGGCTGTCTTGAAACGCAGTAACATGCTCCTGTACAGTGAAAGAGGTTTTTTTGATTTTTGTCTTACTGTTGCATTATACGTTACATATGGTTTGGCTCTTTGTTCTTCTTGAAATTCCCAAAGATGTAGGATGTTTCACTGATTGTTGTTACACTGAAACCTCTTCCCTGAATCGTGCCCTTGATGATCAGGGTGCAAGTGGGTTATGGGAAAGGATATATCTTGCCAAATAAACATGAGATGACTTTGCAGGAGGAAATGCGTGAACTTCTGCTTATACTTTGTTTACAATCTCTCTCTGCCTTGCCATTGCGGAGGTTAATAGGTAATATTAAGAGCAAATGAGGGTTCCTAGGTGATAGCAATATAGTTACCCATTACTGCTCACAAACTTCGGGTGCTTCAGGGAAATAAATGAGTGTTGTGTGCCTTGTACAGGAAAGGCAGTCTTCTCACACGTAAAGAAACAGCTATTTCCGTACAACAGAATAGTTTCAGTGTTGCCCACGTAAAAATACTGTTCATCAACAAACACAAAAATCAACTGTATTTGCCACCTTCTTTCAGAAGCAATGCATTTGCGAATTAAATAGAAATACAGATCTTCTCGATTTATTTATAAATTTCCTTATTTTCTTTTATTTTCCTTATTTAAAGAGCTGTCTTTAAATGTCTAAATGTCTAAAGAATTAAATACCAATTATAAGTATTGTGACAAAAAATTGCTCAAGTTGTTTGAAGAAAAACGCTTATTATTTTAAAATACTTGAATGTCCTGTGGTCAAGATAGTGGTCACAGCATGTTTCATGCATCAATTTCTGTTAGGTTCTTACACAGACAGGCATTTCTTGCTTCAATACCAAAGGACATGTTTGCTGGTAGGCAATATCACATTCACAGTGTCATGGCATTCTTGAAAATTGAGGATAGGGATTGTCCGCTGCAAATCCATGGTTACTGGGGTTGCTTAGTTACAATGCATTTCAGTTGAGGGCTGCATGCGCTCTTAATATTTTTGTACAACGTAAGGTTGGAAGTGGATATATCAGCATGAAAAGTAGACTTGTGTCTGTGAAGAAACATGTGCTGAGGATTGAACTTTGCCCTGCCAAGTAGAAGGAAATTTTTGCTGTAGATTAACAATGTTGAGGTTTTTTTCCGAGTTCAGTGAGCAGAACAAGTGCTGGGGTCTGGCTCAGGATGGGAGCTGGCTTTCCTTGGCCATGCCTGGAGAGCAGTCATTCGGCAGGAGACATCCAGCTAGTGTCTGACTGTTGCAGGAATGATTTGAGGAAAAGATTTGCATCAGGATCAGTCCAGAGGCAGTTTGGGTATATAAGTTTCCCTTCAGTGGTGACAGTATCTACAATGAACACTTTTGCATAATCCCAGCTGCAGCCCTGGGAACACCCCAATGGCTCGGAGGCTGGATGAAAGAAGAAACGTCTTTGTAGTGATCTGAAATAGGGATGTGGACAGGCGCGACTTTCTTTTATTTCAGAAATCAGTGGGTTACTTGTTTTTGCTGCTAAATAATTTATTCTCTAAACTCATACATTTATTGAGTTACAGTAAATAAATTATTGCCTGCCTTTTATCTTGCTGTTTGTGGGATGTTAAGGTAATTTCAGGGTGACTCGCAGACAACAAAGCTTTTTGTTCTGATGGGTACAACTGTCTTGAAACATTTTATACAGTGCTACTGGACCACTCTGGCAGTATCCCTACAAGATGCATGCGGTTACCTAAGAGGAGGAATCGCTTATGATTCTTTTTGCCTGTTTGACACTGATATACACAATGTTATTGTGTGGGAAAGACCTATTTCTGTGACTGGTGGTGGTGGTTAATGTGCTTTGTGTTGGATAACTTGGTGATTGCTGGTCTGCGTTTTACAACCTGCCACCTCTGACTTTCCCTTTTATTTCCTATTTTTGCCCTGTTTCGTCGGGGGGGGGGAACGTCAAATTCTTTTTTGTCAATGTTAAATGTTTTTTTCTCATCTATGCTTTTCAATGGAGTCATGTACTTTATAAGAGATACCATCATTGTTCAATTTTGGACTACAGGACCTGCTCCCCAAATTTCCAGTCCAGTGTCCCTGGTATGTTAAATTGCTGCCTGCCAAGTCGAAGTGGCTCACCCAAGTGGTTAGGAGTGGTGGTGAGCTCTGTTGAAAAAGCAGCTGGGAGAATGGGAACGAACAGGCTGGAGGCAACTGTGATGGGGGAGAGGAGCTGGATGAAAGGAAAGCTGGGGCTGAGCATGTGTGGTGTGTGCCTCAGCTGCACCTGTATTGGGAGGAGATGCCATCTACCACTCCCAGAAAAGTCTGCCTCGAGATATAGCAAAGGAGATGGCAGGTGCTGTCCTGGTGTGGTCTTGCAGCAGAACACTTTTGTGGTCTTGATCTTTTACGTTGTTTCCTTTGCTTGCCTGTGCGTAGATACCTGGGAGGTCCCGTTTGAGGAGATCTCGGAGCTGCAATGGCTGGGCAGTGGCGCACAGGGAGCCGTCTTCCTGGGCAAATTCCGGGCGGAGGAGGTGGCCATCAAGAAAGTGAGAGATCAGAACGAAACGGATATCAAGCACTTGCGGAAACTTAAACATCCTAACATCATTGCATTCAAGTAGGTTGTGAAACTTGTTAGAAACATACCTTTACCCAGGGAAGAGCCATTCACAAATATACCCTGGCCAAGTTTTTAAAATCCAGGGACTAAGCTGTCTGTAGGACAAAATGTGTGGTCATCCTTCCTCTCAAATTGTCGCGCGTTCTTGTGGAAACAAAGCTATGGACGCCATTCCCACCCAAAGCTGCACTTTGCACGCAGGCTCACAAAACGCCTGCTGTGAACCCTACAAATCTGCAGGTGTGGAAGTTGAAGAAACCCACCCCTGTCATCAGTGAGGTTCCTCCTGTGCAAAGCATGCAGGAGACATTCCCCTTCCTGTTCAGTAAGGCAGTATTAGCAGAGGCTTGCCCAGGCAGAGTACACACGTTAGTCTCCCGCCCCTTGATTGCCACCTTTGAGAGTTGCTCTGGGACTTTTACTCTACTGATCCTCACTAGCTGTGTGTTTTCTTTGACAGGGGAGTTTGCACTCAAGCCCCATGCTACTGTATTATCATGGAATACTGTGCACATGGACAGCTCTACGAAGTCCTGCGAGCAGGGCGGAAAGTCACCCCTCGGCTGCTTGTGGATTGGTCCACGGGGATTGCAAGTGGGATGAATTATCTGCACCTTCACAAAATCATCCATCGAGACCTCAAGTCACCAAAGTGAGTCTCTAGATACTTAAACATCCCCCAGTTGTGGTTATCTTTAAACTATTCCTCAAGAAAAAAAAAAAGTTAGGTCAAAAGCCCCATTATTTTTTTTTCCATGTTGACTCAAAACTAATGAGAGTCAAACTAATGAAACTTATTGGCACTCCCTCCTGTGCTGCAATTTAACAAGACTGGAAATTTTACCAGTATCTTACACGGTAAATAGCAGTCAGGAAATATTTCTCATGATTTGATGGTGTCTGGTCCTTTTTGAAAGTGGGATATTCTGTTGCCTTCTGCTTTTTTATCTTTCCTTCTTAATTGTTCTTTTGTAACTTCCCTGGTTTTCTGGAATGCGTCTTTCTCATTTCTCTGTTGCTTTCTGACTAAAACTATCTGGCTGCTTATATTCTTATTCCCTAGATGTTTATCACTCCTTTAGCCTGTGACATGACTGTGACAGTGCGTTAGGATAATACTTTTAGATGGTTTACAGTACAGTTTAAGGTACAGCTTTACTAAAACTTTGAGACACCTCAGATATAGTGATTCTTCAATGACTTGTTAATTTGCAATTTTATCAAGATTGATTTTTTGACTTGTAGCATTTAGAAATGCATTTGAGGCACAAAACACAACGACCCCAAAGAAAGTGAGTGCTTTCATTGGTGAAAATGCATAATCTTTTTTTCTTGTGCTGCAATTGTGAACAGCATGGCCTCATCAACTGTTTGTGTTGATTAAGAAGGGATTTACTCCCAGTGGCTGTTGTGGTACAAGAAAAATTGCAAAATGCTGATTTCTTTTTTTTTTTTTTTTTCTCTCCAGCGTTTTAGTTACACACACAGATGCAGTAAAAATTTCAGATTTTGGTACATCTAAAGAACTCAGTGATAAAAGTACCAAAATGTCTTTTGCGGGAACTGTGGCTTGGATGGCCCCAGAGGTGATACGCAATGAGCCTGTCTCTGAAAAGGTGGATATCTGGTGAGTAGTATTAATGTTTAAGTATCTTCACCTTCTGTTTAGCCACTTGGTTTCCCAGCACTTTACATATTCAGCACTTTTTTCTCATTCTAGGCATGGGGATAGTTTGCTCTGTGGTGGACTATTCCTTTCTCCATCTGCCTAGTGCCCTGATCTTTGTTACTGAACCATGGGCTATAATGGAAAGAGAAATGACATACATGTGTAAAAGCTGCGTGTTGAGATCTGAAGGTATCTAGTGAGACTTGGTGCAGACTATCTGTGTCTTGCAGTAAGTGAATGCAACACTTCTTCCCTGCGTCATTATTCAGGCCAGAACTTTCTTCCACTCCTGGTGCTCAGGGCCCCCTCAGCAACTTTTGCAGCCAGGGTATTTTTCACTTGCTTTCTACCCTCTTCAGGGCCACGCATGAGCTGTCAGGAGGCCTCTACTCTGCTAGCTTGAAGTGTCTGACCACCTTTTGCTTTCTGCATACTGGGCTTGCTTGTTACGTGTACAGCCACAGGATTATAGTCCAGTGAATCTAACCCCAGACCCAAGAGGGAGGAAACCAGGATGCATTGTAAGAGTTTTGAACACATATTTCCGTCCCATGTGAAATGTACTCTGTGTCCGAAGGAACACAAGGAAAGGTTCAGATCTCTGTGCTATTAAAAATGCTTGAGAGAGGACTCAGCCTTGGAGCTCCTTTGGGATGCCTCTCCACAGGTTTCAGGGTCCTCAAGGGAACTGCATCTCTGTTTCTGCCTTGTTATTTCTGCATACTAAATGTCAGGAGCCAGGACAAATGCCCTTCTCCCTGCTTTACAGTCAGGATGAATTTTCCTTCTTGTGGTTTTTCAGCTTCAAATGCTGTCACCTCCCTTACACAGTGTGAAGCTGCAGGTAGAAGCTGTGGGTGGTTCAGAGTGTGAGTGGAGTCAGACAGCAGTCTGCTGCTGGTGTTTTAGCTTGGAGCTGGGTCATGACTTTAAGTCAAGATTTCCTGTAGGGAAAGGGAAAGTCTTGTAATGTGCAGTATACAGCTCTTCTTGTGCCTGCAGTGTTTTGTGTGTTCATTTTGTGTGGATGTAGCAGGCCATAGCATAGCCAGCTCTTCTGGGAGAAACTCTTGGATTGTTTTGGAGAGAAAAAGATTCACCATTTGTCTTCTGAGTTCCTCCCTTTGAATCACAGGTTCATGAGGAGGAATGGTGCTGGATTTCCAACCTCAGCTTTCTGTCCTTTAGAGTGGCTTGGGTTCAGAAATACTGTGTATTTCAGTATTTCAGTAATACTGTGTATTTCATCATGTCCAATAAAAATCAGCTGCTGCTCTGCTGAGGACTGTGGGCACTCCTTTACTCCTTTCCTCAGTGACTTAAGAGATGTTGCTCTTTGGTGCAAACCTAGAGGTGCCTTCTGTGCAAGTTCCTCTTCAGTCCACTGCCATGGTGATTGCTCAAACAACTCCTTGACATCCATTCCTCCCCCAAGATGAATAAAAGCAATGTTCATGAATGCTGCCAACAAATGAGAACAGTTCCTAAGCTGCTTATATGTCTGCTCTCTCTCATCTTTAACAGCATGCTAAAAAAAAAAAAAAATCTATAATCTTATCAGGAGTCTTGAAAATCCTTTGTCAGTTCTTAATTATAACAAAGCTGAAACCAGATGGGGTTTCCTGGTAGTTTGTTCAACCACCTGGATCCCTGCTTTCCTGCAGCCCACGGTAAAAAAACTTCGAGAGAAAAAATGTTCAAATGCTGCTTGGGTTTTTTTGTTGGGTTTTGGTTTTTTTTTTCCTTTCCCCCCCACATGATTTGAAGCCAATGGGCTTTGAAAGTGCAATGTTTTTCACATTAAGTTCTGTTTCCTGACTGATGGTTGTTCAGACCCAGGCAGTTTGTCCCTTAGATGTTCTTCTGTACTTAATAAAAGAAACTTGGTATTAGTACAAGTCAGAAACACACTTCTCACTTTTCACCTGGTTTGACTTGCTGGCAAGCTTGGCAGGGTCGGTGTCCCACAGATGGATAGGGCATGCAAGTAAGGTGATATGTCTGGGTTTGAAATTGAGATGGTTGTACCTCACTTCGTATCGCAGCCTGGTTGTTAATGTGCAGTAAGAGTGGTGTTGGCATTTTGTTTGCCTCTGTATTGACTGGTTTGATATGTCTTTGGTGTTTTATTGGGTGAAGATTGTAAATAAAACAAATAACTGTTTGCTGTTGTAAGTTAAGGTTTTGGTCCTTACTGATCATTTCACTAAGGAAGAGAAGCAAAGTGAGTTTTCTTACCTATATCTTTCAGTTCTTGTAATAGGAGGTTCTTTTCCAGGCAAAGTTCTCTTAATTAATTTTTTCTTTCTTTTGCCTTCCTTTGTTCAGCACAAAAGAAATATCAGATGAGACTGCATGTGCTTTTGATACTGACACTTATGCATGTTGCATTTGTTTCTTCATTTCTGTGTTGCAGTAGTTGTAGCAATGAGTCTCAAACCTATGAAACTCTTACCTAGGAGTACACGTAACAGCAGAGGGAGCTTTTGGCTAGAGGAAAAAAAAAGTTAAATGAAATGTAAAAAAAACCCCTGCAAAACACAATCTTTGTTCTGTTGTCTCTAAGACACTTATCAGTTCTTCTGTCTGTCCTGTAGACTTCTGACTGTTCTTATTGGTAAGAACAGATCATTTACTATCTCAGAAAAGCTATCTTTCCTCTTCATTTAACAGGAGTAAGATTTCATCTGTACAGAAAAACTTCTAATGTGCTTTCAGGATTTTTAAAATCTCACAAAGAAATAGGAAAGGATGGGTGAAAACCGATGTAGCTTGGTGGTCAGCCCAGTGCTGGAGCAGAGGAGGAAGAGTTACCTGATGTATGAAATAGATATTCTTGGTTAAAAACTAGTATGTAAACACTGTTGCACCTACTTGCAATTTCAGATCAGACATAACTGACAAAGAAAGTGATTTTTTTTTTTTTTTTTTTCCCCCAAGCTTCAGATGTTTCTGTCAAATTGAATTCACACAGAAGTTTTTGTCCTGGTTTATTTCTTCATCAGGTCGTTTGGGGTAGTTTTGTGGGAACTGCTTACAGGAGAGATTCCCTACAAGGACGTGGACTCTTCGGCCATCATTTGGGGAGTGGGCAGTAACAGCCTGCACCTTCCTGTCCCTTCCACGTGCCCAGATGGCTTCAAAATCCTCATGAAGCAGACCTGGTAAGAGCCTGAACCCTGCACAGACCTAGGGCTTGCTCCCAGTTCTTGCCAGATACCCAGTAAAACCGATGAAACCAGGGTCAGGGTGGGAGTGTTGAGCCTAGAGCAGAGGGCTCTTGAATACTCTCACGCTTGTCATGAGAGCAATAAGTTTTAACATTTTGGATTCTGCTTCCTTGTGGCAGCAGGCCTGGGCCCCAGAAGGACATTTGGAGCTTAGAGGAAGTAGGAAGAGACCTGTCTGGTTTGCTGGGTGGATGGGGCAGGGAAGGGAGCGGGTAGACACTGTTGAGACAGGCTAGTGAGGGGGAACGAGTTGAATAGGAGAGAAGTGGGGGAGTAGAGCTTGATGGGAGCCCCAGCAGAGTGACAGTTACCCATGAGTTGCCTGTCCAGTGTGAAACGGGAGCAGGCAGCATGAAGGTCATCTTCAGTAGCCTTCACAGAGGTGGTTGCTTTGTTGTAGCAAAGCAGGTGATAAGAGGTAGCTCTGTGGGAAGAGAAAAGGAGCTGGAAGAAAAGTAGGGGTAAAATTTCTTGAGGCTGGCTCCAGAGTGAAAGGAAATGATTTTTCACTTTGAAACCCCCTTGTAAGTGATGGGCTTGTGAACTGGACAAAGAGAAATTCGAGCTTTCTGTATGAAACCAGGATTTTACAGGTATAGATATGGAAAATGCTTTCAGTTTCCTCCATATGCCAGATTAGAGTTGAAATTCTTTGTCCTGGGTTATGCATTAATGCTTTGTCTTTGTAATTGCATTTTGACACAGAGTGTAAGTGGTCTTCCAGCATTTTCCCACTCCATGAGTTTTACCAGCCATCCTCTCGATGACACAAAGGGAAAAACAGGCCAGAGCATCTATGGATCTTTTCAAGTGGCTGTTTACCCGCCCCGACCGTGAGCTGCAGCAGGTCGTGCTGTTGCAGGATCTGTGCTGAGATGTGCTCTGCCTGGCTGTGCTTCTATGCGTGGCTGCAAAAGCCAGGAAGCAGTTTGTGCAGCTCTGAACACTGAGTACACACACTTGTATCCCCATCTAGTGGAAGTAGGTGGTTTGTAGGGGAGAGATGGCTGAAGAAGCTGTTTCTTGTCCTGAGCACTGAATTCATGCAGCAAGTCTGGTGGGTTCAGTCCTGAAGCTCAAGTGCTTGTCTCTTTTTTCAGATACCAGTGTTTTTGTACTTGAATGTGATCTTAGAGATGTTCAGTGCATTACTATACTGTGTAGACTTAGGCATTTACGATGTGGCAACATAGATATGTTCGGTGTTTATAGACACCCTGTTTTGTTGAATGTAAATTATAATTTCTACTAGACTGATTATTCCCATTATAAAATTTGGAAATTAACGGGATAATGAACTGAGATCTGCTTCTTCTCAACAAACAAGTTAGGAACAGTTTCAGTTTGTATCCTATCTTTCACTTCGTAATCACATTTTCTTATTTTAAATAGTTTTTCATCTCTTTTGTTTCTTCAGAATAGATCATCACAAACCAAAAACTGAATACCAAACAGCTCTAGCACAATAAACTCTCACTGAGCAAAAGAGAAAACCAGAAAAGCTCCTTTGCTCTAATCTGTCAGCTACACTATTCAGAGAATATGTTCTAGTGAGAAACCCTTTCAGAAGGGTAGGAGTAGCTAGCAATGTTAACCTCATCTCATGCTTGGGTATTTGTTTTGCTCCAGGCAGAGCAAGCCCCGGAATCGTCCCTCCTTCCGGCAGACACTGATGCATCTGGACATCGCATCTGCTGACGTGCTGGCTACTCCTCAGGAAACCTATTTCAAATCACAGGTAACTGGAGAATGGCTGTAGCCCATGAGTACTGGAGTTAGCTCCAAGGATCTGATTTTGGAGGCTGCACTGAGTACAGCAGAAGTCTGGATTCATGATTTCAGTTTGATTCTTGGGGAGAAGCAAACTGATGGGTATTTGAAAATCTTTTACTCAAACTTTCACAAACTGAGACATCTGCTGACTTTAGTCAGAAACTCAGCGTTGTCTCATTCACTTCTCCCCGAAACTGCTGACTTCAGATGTTCTGCTCCCAGCTGTTCTCCCAGTACTGTTGTACAGGAGAGGACGAGATTGCTGAGAGAGGAACTGCTGCATTTATAGTGAAGATGAGCAGGGCAGCCAGTGGGACAAAGAGCTGTTACAGGGCAGTGAAGGGACTCTGGGACTTTCAGGGAAGATCTAAAAGTATGTTCTTAGAGATTCCTCCGAGTCCTACCCAGCGAGCTATTGTCTGCTCCCAAGGAGGGAATGAGAATGAAACCTTGCCTCCAGTATAGAGGATCTGTATGGTGTTGGGGTGTATGTGAGGAAGTGGGTGCATTTAGTAAAACTGCAAGAATCAGGGCTTCAAGGGACAAATAGAGTTAGTATCACCCTAGTGACAGTCATTGTTGTCATGAATATGGGTTTCCAAATCATAAGCCTTTCTGTTTACTTTAAATGCCAAAAGGGAAGAAAATGTTGTCTTAGGATGAAAAAAGCTTTAGGAATTTTTAAAAATATTTTTTAGAAAATGCAGATATATTTTAAATGATCTAATCGGAGCACAAAATTGGAAATTCCATTTAAAAATGCTGAAACTAAACATGCTGCAATGTTGTTACCCAGAATAATTCAGCTAACAGAAACATGTTTTCAACCCAAACCTGTAACTTTCTGCAGACACAAAGAATGTTGCCCAAGAGGTTTTTTTTGGTGCAACTAGGGATCCCAATCCTTTGTAAATACCTGAAAGTAAATTGCTTCCCTAGGCTGAATGGAGAGAAGAAGTGAAGAAACATTTTGAGAAAATTAAAAGTGAAGGAACTTGTATCCACCGGCTAGATGAAGAATTGATTCGTCGTCGAAGAGAAGAGCTGAGGTCTGTCAACAGTCTTTTATGTTTACTTTTCCCATCCAGCCTTCTCTTCACCAGCTAAATGAGCCCAGCTCCCTCAGCTTCTCTTCACAGGGCATATGCTCCAGCCCCTGACTGTCTTCATGCTCCTTTCGTACTGAGGACCCCAAAACAGGACTCGGTATTCCTGGTGGCATAAATTCGGGCAGCCTAAATTCCTTGTGAGTCCAGAAACTGAGATTCCCACGGGCATGCCCTAGGCCTTGAGCACTGCTTGGCTGATGGAAAGCTATATATAGCGAGAGAAACAGTGGAAACTGTCCCTGCTCTTGGGCAGTCTGAACAGTTTGCTCCAGGCAAGATGGGCAAAGCCTTGTGTGTTTACCAGGGAATATTTCTGCCTGAGTTTTGGTGTTTGTGATAACGGCACTGAAGCAGGTACATCTGTCTCAGTGGAAAATGCATCTTGCAGTTTGCTGTGAGCTTTCTGTGCCCTGATACTTTCTTTGGATTAGTTATTTCCAGAGAAGTGAACACACTCCAATTTCAGCCCACTGAAATTCATTTTGAACATTAGACCGACTTAAAAATGAAAGCAGAGTGTTTATTTAAGAAAGGAAAGTGTTATCTTCTGTGATACAAATTTGCAAATATAGTTATGACGCAGAAACATAAAACACCAAATAGCAGTTCTATGTCAAACCTAAGAAACAAAAGGAAACCTTGTTCAGCCAGTTTGATGTAGTTGTTGATCAGTGTTCCCTAGCCCTAGGGAGCTTTTGATGGTCCCATCTTTCAGCTGTGGTTCAAGATGTCTTCTGCAACTATACTGTAGCTGTAGGGGCATATTGCTTTCTATGAAATACAAACAGATGATTCCTTTCCCTCTTTCTTTAGAAGCTGACTTAGCCCCTTCTCTGTGCAAACAGGATGATCAGGGCTTGGCCAAAGGGCTTGTGGATGCATGTGAGGCATTTGCAGCTTCTCTAGTGAGAAGTGTTGCCACTCTTTCAGGACTGTTAAATGCTTTCTAAATCATATCACGATTCATTGCTGTATCAAGCTCTTAATTGTCATTCATAGTTAGCTCTATCTGGGGTTCAGTGCAAAACAGCTGGCAAATTTGACTTTTAGAAGGCCTTTTCCTAAAGCACCTGTACTTTTCCTTATTCTCTCTTGATCCATGGACATCAGATTGTGGAATAATGATTTTTCTGTTTTTCAGACATGCATTGGATATCCGCGAACACTATGAGAGGAAGCTGGAGCGAGCCAATAACTTATACATGGAGCTCAGCGCTATTATGCTGCAGCTGGAGGTCCGTGAGAAGGAGCTCATAAAGTATGTATTTCTGGGCATAATAGCATGCCATGCACGTGGCAATATGCATACAGGAGAAAAAAAACAATAGTTCATTTCTAAACTGCATAGTGGTACTTGTAGATTTAGTGTCCCCTGACAAACTTACAGCGTAAAGAAAGAGCTGGCAAGCAGAGAGAGGCCCCTTAAGAGCAGATTACTGCAGACCACTTAGTGCACGTATCGTTACCCAGCGTTTACTGACTGGGAGAAAGGCACCTTTCCCATTTGGTGTTGGCATCCTTTGGCCCCTTTGTAAAGAGAAAAGCAGTGCTGTTTCTGGACTGTACGCCAGGGCCCTGTTCCAACTGCCTGATCTCTGCAGAGAGAATTTAGAAAATGACTATGTCCTTTCCCAGAACAGCATGTTGTGTTGCACCCAGCCATAGCTGAGAAACAGGCACGCAGTCTGCTTGCAGTGGAGCTGTGTTTCTGTCCAGCAGGAGCTGCAGTTGGATAAAGAGAGAACTGATTTTATTTTTTTTTTTCTTCCCCAATGTTTCAGGAGGGAACAAGCAGTGGAAAAGAAATACCCTGGGACTTACAAACGCCACCCAGTCAGACCAATAATCCACCCCAATACAGTGGAGAAGCTGATGAAGAGGAAAGGTGTCTCTCATAAACCAGGCAGCCAGACTAAACGGTAAGAAGTAACAACCCAGTTCTGTGCCAGGAACCAGTGGTAGATCCCCACTGAGAAGAGCAGGCAGCTTACTTCCCTTTGAGTCTGATGACAGCACAGGACAGGCCAAAGGAGTGTTCACTCTTGGGCCTGGTCTGATCCTCAGAACCACAATTGTTTAATTGTCTTTAGGTAAAAGGGATGAATCCTGCCATCCCTTGTACCTGGGCAGCTCTCTGGAACCGTTTAGTCCATATGATTTTTTCACAGATGATGGTACTTTGACAGGAGGTATCTAATATGTTGTCTCAAATTCCTAACTATCCAAGCAAAGAGCAGTTAGATCATCCTTGCCTTGAATGGTAATAAGCAGGGTGAGGGATTGTGGAAATCATCCAGCCCTCAGGGAGGATGGATTCATTGTTGAGGAATTAAATTGGGATTTGAGATTTGGGTATTCATACTGTCCTTTCAGCTATTTCTCTTCTGCATGACTTTCAGAAAGTGAGATTTTTTTTTTTTTTTTCAGAGGAGTTGTCTATTTTATTCTTCCCTTTTCTGGGATTTCCAGGAGTTAGAGAGTCCTGATTAACAGTGAATAATCACTTCTGAATTAGTATCCACACGTGCTTCTGAAATGAGCAGGCTGATAACCATCAGCAGATTGGGACCCTATTGTGCTGAGCATTGTATATGCACACAGTAAGAGACATGCCCTACACCAAGGTCTTAGGAGGGAGCTATTTTGGGAGCAGAACATCAAAATAAGGGTGGAAAAAGGAGAGTATGTGGCAGGTATTGAAAAAGCAGCAAGAAGGGAGTGTAGAGCACGATGGGCTGAACAGCAAGGACATTTTGTGGAGAGAATCAAAGGAAGCTAAATGCAGAAGTCAAACAGCTGAAGGGGAGGGAAGCCTGTAGATTTCAGAAAGCAGAGTGTGCTTATGGCTACAGCTGCCTCTTCATCCTGGCTCTGAGCCGATGTAATTTCTTAGTTTGTGGTTTAATGTGTGACTTCTGCTGACTGTCTCTCAGGCCAGATCTACTGAAGTCAGAGGGCATACCCAGCACAGAAGCAGCATCCAATGGCTCACCAGTCTCAGGAAGTCCCAAAATGTCAACACTGAGCGGCAAAAGCCGCTACCGCAGTAAGCCACGTCACCGCCGAGGGAACAGCAAAGGCAGCTACAATGATTTTGCAGGGATCTTGAAAAACCAGCCAGTGCAAGATGATGCACCCCCACCTCCACCTCATAATCATTCTCATCATCCCAGCCTACCGCAGCAACATGGCCACAGCCATCCCCATGGCCATCACTCACGGCTTCATGCCCACGGACAAGATATTGCCAACTGCGCAAACAACTTAAGGTACTTTGGCCCTGCAGCAGCGCTGCGTAGCCCTCTCAGTAACCATGCGCAAAGGCGGATGTCTGGTTCAAGCCCCGATCTCATCTCTGCTGCCATGGAAGCAGATTGCCGAAGGAATCTGGAGAGCAAAGAAAGCAAAGCTGATCATTGGGAGTGTTGCAAAACAGATCCATATAATTCCTGTCTTCAGTGCAGGGAAGAGGACAGTGGTCAGGTACAGATGTCATCTGTTGAAACAGGGATGAGCCATTCTCAATCACCAACATCTGTTTCCCTATACGAAAATGCGCAGTTCATTGAGAAGATGGAGGAAGAGGGCTTCAGCAACTGTAAGTCAGCGTCTGCCCTAGGCACTCCCCAGCACATGGCTTCCTCAGTGCTACCTTGCAAAGCAAGACCCCTTCAAAAGGTAAAGACAAAGCATAGTGACTTAAAAAAACCCCAAAGCTTGCTCCTCTTTTCCCTCTCCACCAAAAGATGATGTGTAGCATAGGCTAGTGTCTGGATATAGAATAGTAGCAAAGCCATGTTTCCCATGCACATAGCAGTAGTTACATGTACAACTTTATCTTAAAGAGATCATGCCCATCTGAACTTGGCTTTGTGATCTGGACATACTTTTAAAGCCAATTTTATTGAGAAGTACTGTAGGCATATCGGAGCATACTGCTAATAATGAGGGTTGTCAAATGTGGTTTTGATAGGGCCTAGTTCTGTTACTTGCTATTTAGCCAGTTTTTGTTTCAGCTGAAACTTGGTCTACTGAATTTTTGTTGTTGAAACAGTCTCAATGTTTTCAAGCCTTTCTCAAAACAAAGGAAGGCGTAAATGCATTCTTTTGGTGATGTTAAAGATTATGTACCAGTTTCATTGAGAATCTGTAGTGCTGCTGTGCCTCGGAACAGAACTTCAACATTTGCCATGGTCTTGGGGACATGCCTTTTGCTGCACCTGCCAGAAACTGTCCCCCTTGATCAAACGTCATAGTTCTCATGTATTTTGTGAAGATTTTGCAAGAGTCAAAAAGATGTTACAGCACAGTTGTACAGAAACAGTTCTTCATTCCTCCTGCTTCCACCCAGGTGGTGAGAGAAGTAGGAACCAGTCTGAGTGGAGTTCAAAGAGCCGGAAAACTGGGCCTGAGTGGAAAAGTGAAGGAAAAGAGGATGGGTACCAGACCAAGAGTGTGATTTGGGCCCAGAATGAAGGGAGGAGCAGGAGCTCATATTACGAAGGGATGGGATGAGATAGAGGCTGAATCTGAACCAGGGGTTGGCAGGTTGGATAGGCTGGAAGGAGGCTGTAAAAACCAAGATTGCAGGGGGTGGATTTGGATGGGAAAAGGAGAATAAAAGGCTCTGTGCTCACTGAGGTAGAGAATGGAACAAAACTCAAGTTTTCCTAGTTGGTGAAACCCACCAGCAAAGGCTGTGTCATGCTCCATCCTGCTCTATGATGGGCTCACGTAGAAAAGGGTTGAAGTCGTAAAGCCAAGAGTGCCAGATCAGCTCAATAATTTATGTGGATTTTAGTGGGATACTAATTACTTGATTTGCTTCTGTAAAAATCCGGAACGTTATGTACTCGTTGCCTGCTAAAGTACTCCAGTGTATTTCAAAGTCAATCACTCCAAATTCAGAAATGGAAGCATTAAGACTGCCTGAAATAATCTCCTGGTAAGAAGTCCGAGTCAGTTTTCACTGATTTGCAAGTTCTTTTCTTGTCTAGATTGTTGCAGCCCATTGACAGAGTGACTTTGTCCTGGAGGACCAAGGGGCAACCATGTAGTTCCATGTTTGTTCTTTCGCAAATGTGATATCATTCTTGCCCTTGTTTTCTGCCAGAGCGGTGATGACTCTTCAGAGGAGGAAGAGGGCGAAGTAGACAGTGAAGTGGAATTTCCTCGTAGACAAAGGTAAAAGGTGAATTCACTCTAATCTCTCTTTGGTGGGACAAAACTCAGGAGGACAACTGTCATAGCAGCTGCACACCAGCATTGAAACTGTGGAAGGTGCTGGCAAAAGAACAGAATCACATTCAGTGCATCCCATCTGCCCTCGGTGATCTTCCATGTTCACTCACTGTTTTCAGCCTGTTCTGAGATGTTTTCTTCAGCACAGCTTTTCTGTTGCAGGCTGTTTGTAGCACAACTTGATCACACTTGATAACATTATTCAGCCTATAAAAATAAGCTTCTGCATCTGTTTCACCAGAATCAGACTTACTGGATGTTGGGATCCTTTGTGAACTCTTTCAAATGTTGTTTATTTACTGTTGCTGCAGTGGGACTGACTCCAGCATCTTTGTAGTTGAATTCAAGTAGGATTGAAGAGCTAGGTGACAAAGCAGCAGATCAAATTTGGTGGTGTTGCCTGTAAAATAAGAGACTTGAGGGGGCGTTCCTACCTAAGCATATGTAATAATGGGCTTTACAGTCCTGTGCTCAGGAAAGAGATCGTGGCATTGGTGTAGTAGCTTTATGAAAGCAGCTGCTTGAAGTGCAGAAGTGATCCAGTGGACAAATAGGTTAAGGGTTGTTAGGAAAGGAGCAGAGAAGAAAATAAAAGCTTGTCTGCTGTTGTATACCTCCACAGCACACCTGCAGCTTGAATCCTAAATGCCACCTTCATTGCTCCAGCTCAAAGACCATGGTAAAATTTGAAAAGGTACTGAAAAGTGTGCCAAGAATGGTTACAGACGGTTTCCATAGAAGAAGAGATTAAATCCACGAGGAATGTTTGTCTAGCAGGAGGAGAGGTGATACTGGAGGTGCATGAAATTGTATTTTATGTGGAGAAAATAGACAAGGAATGATTCCTCACATTCATGTTAGGGACACCTAGTGAAGCAAACAGAGGACTTAAAATGACCAAAAAGAAGTGCTTTTTCCCTCCAAAACATTTTCAGATGTGGAGCAAATTGTCAAGGTACGCTGTGGAAATCAAAACATAAACAAGTCATAAGTGTTAAATTTATGGCATATAGATCCATCAGTGCTGTTAAACACTGTCATCCAGGTTTGATCTTCAGCTCAGAAGTCTGATTTGCTGAATGGTACAAACCAGGAAGATACGCCAGGAGAAAGCAGGCTCTGTCTGCACACCTTGTTCTCATACTTTTCCCAGATTATGTCTTCCTGCCTAGGGTTGGAGACAGAACGCTGGGCTAGATGAGTTTTCTGACTTACACGGTTCTTGTGTGATTGTTGCTTCTTCTGTGATTTACTAACTTGGAAGACAAATTGCCTTTCTTGAATTCAATGTGACGACCTGTTATGGGTCTCCTGGCATGTTCAGTCAACTGATATTTTGTACCATTACTGTTGAATCCTGGCATGAGGCGATTTCCACATTCAAGTAACTGTGAGCTTATTTTTTGAGCACACATACCTAAATTCTAGCCTGGCTGTTGGGATTGCTGCCAGGTGATGCAGATATTCCCAGCTGAATTATCTTGAACCCTACAGTACAGCCTTTCTTTAGAAAAAGGGACTGTTAAAGAAAAATATGCTCCTGGGCGGATCAGCTAATATGAACATGTAGCAGACAAGACCAAATAAGAACAGATTAATTTAAAGATGCAGCTCTTGAACTAAATCATTCCAAAGATGGTAGATTTCCATAGCTCCAAGATGTGAAAGGCAGTCCAACACTTTGCAGAGCTCTTGCTGCCAGCCTTGCAGATCACTTATGAATCAGCTGGAGATGTGTTCTTAGAGTGGGAAGAGGCTCTTAGAGAGTTGATGTAAAGCCTTTTGTAGGGATAGGACCTGTTTTGCTCAAAGACATTTTTGGAAGGATCAAGCCCTTAGCCCAGTGTGGAGGAGCGACCAGGCAGTATTGAGTGCACTGTGCCTGAGCGGTATCTGCTAGGGAGAACAGGATGGAGCAGCCTGGGCTGCCTGTTACAGTGAGTGAGTGAGCCCTATTCTTGTGCTGAAGATGCCAGTTAAAAGCACAGGTGCAAAAATCTGCTCTGTATTGCATGCTACAGGAAGGAAGATGAGAGGTTTGCCTGGGGAACCTGTGTAAGGATGTAGTAGCCACTCTGCATTTACTGCACTACTAATGTTGTGAGGGTTTTGGTTGTGATATGTCTCGAAAGAAAGGTGCCTGGTAACCTTGCTACACATCAGAAACAGAGTTATGTAAGGATATGCTCGAACTGTAACGTTGCACTGTCTTGCCAGCTCATTCTTACTCTGTGCAGTGAGAGCATGTGCAGAAACCTGTCCACTGAGAAGCTGTAACTTTTCTAGCTGGCGGTGGGCTCCTGGGGACAGGCTCACCCAGGGCTGAGTGTGCACCAGGAGTGGGGTCTGTTGAGGCCAGTTGTAGCAGGGTAGTCGAACACAGCACCCAGGAAATTGCTTTTCCTCTGCAATCAGAGGCACTGTGATACAAGCTGAACTACTCTCCTGGTTTGCAGACCTCACCGCTGTATTAGTAGCTGCCAGTCCTACTCAACCTTCAGCTCGGAGAACTTCTCGGTGTCAGATGGAGAGGAGGGGAACACAAGCGATCATTCGAACAGCCCAGATGAGCTGGCCACCAAGCTGGAAGATGAGCTGGCTGAGAAGCTGGAGGACATGTTGTCTCAGACTCCAGAGATCCCCATTGAAATCTCCACCCAGTCTGATGGGCTTTCAGACAAAGAGTGTGCTGTGCGGAGAGTCAAGACTCAGATGTCTCTGGGCAAACTTTGTGCAGATGAACACAGCTGTGAGGTGAGTTGTAAGTTAAGCAATCCCCTCTTCCTTCTATTGAGTGGAAAAAAAAAGTTACGGAAAGGAATCCAAGGGTCAGAAAGTTGGATGACTGCCTAGGAAATGCTGTGGTAGATGTACTACAGCAAAGCAACTGCTTAAATAACCAGTCTTTCTCATACTTGGCCAGATGAGTAGACAGGGGAAAGTAGTGCAAACAAAGCTGAATGTAATTTGCTGGTCAAGATGAGTGTGATATTGGGAGGGCATCGGATTTGCAGTTGCATTAAGTAGGATAAAAAATAGCACATAAAGTAGATAATGAAACAGAAGGGATATCAACTGTCTGCCTCAAACTTATCCATTGGCAGCCTTGCTGATGAAGCTAGAATGATTTTCTTCCTTTTACTGTCTTTCAAGTGTTTGGGAGGGGTAGGGCAGAGCCTGCTGCACCATCTTCTCATAATTCCGCCTGTGTTTGATAGTGCTCTGACCAGATATTTTTCTGCTGTCCCTTCCTTAAGGGGAGACAAGTGACCTTTGGTAGGGCGATTGTGTGTCGTTGCTATTTCCTGTGTTCTGCCAATCTTTCCTTCCCTGCTGGTGGTGACCTTTGCCTGTCTGCTGTTACAGATTGGGATGGTGTCGTTGATCTGCAGTGCAGGAATGTTGCTCAAGTCTTCCCCTTTCCTTTTACTTTGCAGAACCCAGCACAGTTTGGAGAATCAGACTGTGACTCTTCTGAAGGGGAGTGTTCTGATGCCACGGTCAGGACCAATAAGCCCTGCAGCTCTGCTACTTGGTAATACAGATCTCCCCCAAAGCTTCCTGATACTGGCATTTTGATTTCCCTGAGATTCCACTTCATTCCCCTTCATCACACTTTACAGGAAGAGAAGATGCTTCTCCTTCCCACCCCAGGAGTGATTTGCAATAACCTGAATCTCTGGAAAATGTCCAAATGAAATTAATTCTCTTTGAGCATTTCAATCAAGAATGGCAGGGATGTATTTTATTGAATAATCTAGTTACTGTAACATGGATATTTATTTTTTTGACATTTTAACACTTTTTACTGTAAAGAGTGGATTGTATTTATAGACACACAGACTTGTTGCAAAAAAAAAAAAAGTTCAGAAAGCAAGCACATTACAGAGAAACATCCTGGGAGTCCTGCCTGGACAGCTTTGTGTACAAACGTGGGGGGATTCTCTTGCTGCTTTCACAGGGGACCAGGCCTCGAGGCCCTGAAGATTGGAGAACAGATCAAGAAAACTAAACCACTCAGTCTTATCAAATGAGGAAGCATAAAAAGACCTTACTATAGGGTAACCTGTGAACAAAGCATATTCAGTATAACCAGCTGGGTAATTTTTAATCAGAAGGTGGACATGTTCCTGGAGAAAATTGGTACTGAGGTGCTAACATCCAGGGTCTTCTGAGTCGATACATCCCCAGGAATGTAATAGTGGGTTTTATTTTAAAGATTTTTAGTTTCTTTTTTTTAATCAGCATTTTGTTGTGAGATCCTGCAAATGTATTCTAACCTCGTCCTCTCGAGAATTGGTATAAGAGCACTTCTTAACATCGTCCTTGCTTCACTCTGGCAGTGTCGATCTCCAGTTGAGCAGGGAAACCTCTTTCAGATGCAGTGTGCCATTTCCCAGTTTACTTCCTCCTCTTACCTCCTGTCTGTTTCAGTCAGTCAAAGAAATCAATCAGATCAGTGTTGGAAAAGCAAGAACTTGCAAACCGTGGAAAGCACATTCTGCAGAGCCTGAGCACTCTTCTGGGGAGGAAACTGGAGATGCCTGTAGTGGACTTGGAGAAGCAGTCTCTCACCTACAACAGCATCGAGAACCAGCAGAGAGCTGTGTGTTGAGGGGGAAGACTGGGAATCACTGGCCTAGATAAGAGCATCAGCCCTGCTCTGTCTCCTTATTCACTGTACATTCTTGAAAGCATTAACAGCTGCCTGTCCTTCACGTCAGGCTTTGTGCAAAACAGGTTGCACAGGGAATCTTGATGGTGGCTGTGGCACAGCTGTGTCTCGGGTGTACCCTGAGGCCTCTTGTTTCTCCTTCAAGCTGAAATTCTGCAGGTGAAAGTGAGGATAGTACTGGTATGTGACAGGCCGAGGCATTGGTAGATGAGAAAAATTTGTTTTCTGATAGAACTCATAGTGCCTTCCCTTCAAACACTACTCTTCTAAATCAATATTTAAAGAGAACAAAATGATAGAGCACGTTTCCCCCCCACCTTAGCTAATGTCCCCCTGCAAGAGCTTTCACTCTGCCCTTCCTAGCGTGCTGGCTGGCGCGGCTGGGGCC